AAAAGAAAGAAGAAAACAAAGAATTTTATTTATTTTATTTACATCAAAAAAAGTATAAGAAAGAAGCAACAATATTTTTTTCACATTGCATTCACATTCATATTTTAATCAAGCAAAAGAATTAGCAATAAATAAAATATCAGAGATTTTTTATTTCAAAATGAATAAAGAAAATATCACTGCTCAATTTTTACTTTGTTCAACTTCTGCTCTGCTCAGCTTTCTACCTCACTCTGCTTTAATAATTATTACAGTAGATATCTTCTATCAATTGTCTTCAAATTTATGCTGCAATTTAACTTCTTGCTTGATAAAGTGTGTATTTCAGAATGTAACATCAGTGAATAATTCCCTTTTCATGAAATTGTGAAAGAGTGCATTCTTGAGCAATTTGAAAAAGCAGTTTTCAGTAATGATCTCATTTGTATAAAACATTTCATTAATAAAAACTTTGATTTTGTCAAGATCCATCTGCACAGTCTGAATTTTGTTTAAATTGTATTTATTAAAATTGAGTAAATGTTCAAACATTTTTAAATTTTGCATTATATTATCCATCTTGCATCCATCTGAGAACAGAATTGATGAACATCACTCATCACTTATTTTGATTATATTTATAATATATTTAACAATTTTTGATGTAGACGGATCTACTACGTTATATTTTGATAAATCAGACATTTTCATTACAGAGAGATTATTTTTATCAATAATATTAATCATTTTTTCATTCAAGTCTCACACTCTTCTCTTTCTCTTTCTTTTAAAAAAGGTGGATATTTTCATTGAAGAACTTTTGTCTTCCACACTGCTACATTTAATGTTGATCTCATTTATTTCCATGATTAATTTTTTAAAATTAGATATATTTTCAACAAGCAGTAAATTGTCTGTGTTTTTCCTCAAATCTCATTAATGATGATGATTCAGATTGCAGTGGATTTAAAGAATGATTACATTGTGATTAACATTGCTTTTCAAATCAATTGTTTGAAGTATAATGATTTCTTCATCACTCATTCTTCAATATAGCTTGTGCAGCGGAGGTTGCTTGCTCAATTTCCACAGCAATTGTTGATTAATTAAAATAAAGAATTTACAAATGGTAAAAAACATTGCTTCAATTCATTTGAATAACTGCTTGATAATCAATACCACATTTGAAAATTCTTCAATCAACAAATCATAGTTAATGACCATTGCAAAATGAGTAGAGTGATCATTAAAATAATAATGCAAGTGATTACTATTATTATTATGCAGACTCTGCATCCGGGGGGTATTTCAAGCTCAAAATACAAATTTTTTATTGATATTTTTTTATTTGATGCTTTCATAAAATTTTCTCTTTATTTAACTGTTTTCTGTTAAATTTTTATAATCTCTGCAATTGATTTAGAATCCTCCTTGCTAAACTCTGAGTTGGTTAATATTTTTTCAATTGCTTCAACAATTATAATGTTCATTTTTTTATTCAAAAATCTGTTATCATTCAATTAATTTTTCTGTATTTTTATAAAAAAAATGATAAGCTTTCAATTTAAATCTGCATTTTTTATAAAAATGTTATTTTTCTCTGTTCAAACCGGTTTTCAATCACTTTATGACATCATTCAAATGCAATATAAAAGGATTTAATTGATGAAATATGAGAATTTTGTTTTTATACAAAGTCAGTAGATTTCTTCTGACAGATATATACAACGCTGCTGCAGAGTTGCTTCAGCTACTTTCATTCATAAAATGAAGGATGAATGATTGTCTGTTGTTTATATAAAATAGCTAGATGCTGACTCTCTATTTCAGAAGTCAGTGATTCATCTTTTATCAATAAAATATCAGAGTTATTATCATTTTCATATAATATTCTTAGTGTGCTGAGTATCTTTAATAGTTCAGCGTTTGTATAGTATTCTAAGAGCTCGCAGTTCAAATGAAATAATCAAACTCACTCATAAAACTTCTCATTATATACCATCCTTCTCTGTGCCGCTGCCGAGTAGCAACCGCCTCGGCGCCGTCACATTACACATACATTGACAAACTGTTAATATAGTTATTGAGAAGTGAATGTAAATGAATTGACAGACTGCTCAAACTGCTGAAATTGCTAAAAATAAAATAAAATCAGATTGATGAACAATGCAGAATGCTGAGTTTGCTGAAGATAAAGTGAAAGTAAATTGATAAATAATGCAAACTATTGAATTTGCTGAGTATGTATGTATGTATGTATAGGTTTAACGTCCCGGAGAAAACACGGGCAGCGCCCGTGTTTCAGAAGCCTCCCGAAGGGCATGGAGACGTGCTACGCTGGAGAGATTTCTATGTACACAGAGAGAGAGAGAAAACAGAATCCAGGTGGCAACTCTTGAGAAGACTCAGCTCATTGCAAAGGATTTTTCTGAGCTGCGCATCCACTTCTGGCCCGACGTATGGCCATTCATGGTGGGGCTATAGTGTGGTTCCCTGAGGGGACCGCCGCTGCCGTGCTTTGAAGGCTTTATAGTGAGCAGAAAGGGATACCTCTCTCAGTTGATCAGAAAGCTGTCTGTGCTTCTAACATCAGAAGAAAGACAGACAAGATAAATAATGAAGGAGAGAGCACTGAAGAAGGTTGTGACAGGAAAAGAGCAGAGAATGACAGAGAGAGCAAAGAAAAGAAGGAAGAAGAAGCATTTGAGCCGATAGAGACAAGGGCAAATGAGAGGAAAACAAAGCATATTAATTGTAATTTCATCATTTTTGAATTGGTTTTCTTCATTTTTTGACAGTTCTTTACTTACATTCAGTCATTTTGACTGCTTCAATTGTATTACAGATGTTTTGAGAGTTGATAAATATAAATCATTACATTTCAAATGTTTGTTGTTTGATTGTATTTACTACATTCTTTACATGAATTGTTTGACATTTAATTACACTTTATTTAATGCTTTTACATTAACTTTACAACATTACTACAGTGTTATTCATCTTTTTCATCTATGTGATTGTTCTCTATTAACAGCTGTAGATTCCATGGAATTCACCTATAGTTACAAGTCACATGCAGCTGTTATCTATCTCATTACATTCACCCGAGGGATTAAACAGCGCGTTTTCAAGCTGGATAAGTGAGCGCAAGCGAGCGATTGCGGCTTGTGGAAATTGAAAAACAAACCTGAAAAAATAAGGAAAGGAAAGGGAAAGGAAGAAAAGATAAAACACCCAATGAAACCTTCATGATTCCCTTGTCCCGTGAGTTCTCAGCACAACGCACAACGCACAACGAAACCCTGAAGTCGAGTCCGACCCCGTCATTGGTGCCTTAACCATGGCAACAGGTCGTCTGGTGTATTGACATATTTTTCTTCTTTCATAGACCCACCGGGCCGCTGAGGGGCGAAAGAGGATGAAAAGGGCTCCGTGCATAAATCAGGCATGTGTGTAGGAAAGGCAGTCATTCATGAGATCTTCAGAGATGAAATATCAGCACATTCGCGCTTGAGGCCTGAAAAAAAAAACGCGACG